AGACGGAGAGAGAGACGGAGAGAGAGACGGAGAGAGAGACGGAGAGAGAGACGGAGAGAGAGACAGGGAGAGAGACAGGGAGAGGTGAAGCGCAGAACGTATGTCGGGCTTCGGGAGTATTCTGTAAATTTTAAGAAACTGCGACAGTAGATTCTGAGAAACCCTACATTATTTTAAAAATGAGCACCTTTTGGCTAACTTCATTTTAAAAATGTATGCATTTGCCACTGGAATACTAGAACATTCCTGCACCATATTCTGGATTTTTTCCTTCATGGAACAAGAACATTATGAATTATGAACAAGAGAATGCTTTGATTCCATAATAACCCAACATGCGTTCAAAATTAAGAAAAAATATGCATACTTTTTTACAAACTGTCAAAAAATGTGATGTGGCTTATGCGCACTAGAACATTTAAATAAGAATCGAATGTCCTCCAGGCGTTCTAGAAGAAAAATGTTGATATTTTCCGAAAGAGCAATGTTTGAACTATTTGCTTATCCAAAAAACCAAATTAGACGATTTGACACAATTCATGGTACCCTCTTCCTTGACGTAAAATTGGACGAATTGAGAGTAATGAGGAACACTGAGTAAAATAGATAATGTGGTATCTAATGCGGTTTTTTGTGGCACCCTTAAACTCATTATGAATTTAGTTTTATTGGTTATATATACACATACATATACACTAACGGCACTCCCGCCTCACTAAACCAGATAGCACCTAATGTGTAGAGTCAGAGACGAATGCTCAAGTAGAGCTTTGAATTTATCTCATGGCAGTGGGATTTTTCAGACTTGAGAAAGGATAATACACACAAATCAAAAACGCTGTGACTCAAACCGGTGTCTTCGGAGGAGTGGGTTCGAATCCCACCGCTGCCACTATTTAATCTACTCCTCCGTCTGTTCCAGGGTGCAATAATACCCAGACTAATGTGTGTTCAACTTATTGCTAGTTTATTTATGAATCCACCACCGAAATACACTATATTTACAATAGTTACATAAAGGAAATAGATCGACCCCACTACTAGAAGTAATTTTCATTCTACGGCTACCACACCCTCTACTTAAATATCAAATAAATCCGATTGTGTGAAACACCGCAGAATTCCTACACGACTCGTTACTCGAGTCTAACTACTTCACGGATTGCCTGCCCTAGCCTTCTCACACGCGGTACGCACTCCACCGGCGCGCTGCCTCCGATCCGCATAGCTCGGCTCTTCGAAGAGAAAAGGGCCCGTTGAAGCGTCGAATGCATGCGAGGAAGTGCTAATTTTTGTAACTTTTGAACGGTTGAAATTATAGCAATGTAGGTTTTATGGAAATGCGTGATAGAATGGGGCTAATTGAGACACGTATATATTGATACATATTTTTTAACTATGACGACGAGCGTAAAAGGACAAATCCAATGATAAACATATCATATGTTAGATAAGAATTTTTTGAGTAATTTTTATTTTTTGCGACTAGTGTTTAACGGATATTTTGAATGTAACAGTCCGCCACATAGGGCCACCCATCGCTCCCTTTGCCAGCGCGCGGCCGGGGAAGGAAAGGGATCTTAGTATTTTAAGACACGAAACATATTCCCAATATTCACAAAACTGTTGCAGTTTTGTTCCTGAACTCTGCTTTCTACCCTTTCGCATTTTCATATTCTTTGTATTACTGTAAAGATTGAAAATGCAGATGTCATAGGTATTATGTATTGAAATAAGATTGTTATTTCAACTTCATTTAAAGGGGTGTCATACCTCAGGATATTAATGGTATCTTGATACTAAGCACACTGCAACAGTTTTGTGAATATTTGGAATATGTTTCATATCTTCAAATACTAAGCTCTCTTCCCTTCTCTGAACGCGCGTGTGCTGGTGGAGCGCAGCGTGTGTGTGGCAGACTGTTACATTCAAAATATTCATCGTATGGCAATATTTTATCACTGGATTCGTCTTTTTACATTTATCATAATAGTTTGAAAAAATATGTATAGTTCCATTTGAAAAAACAAAGTTACCTCAAATATCTCGTAAAATACACGTGATAAAATGGAAGCTGCATTCCCTCATGCACTTATGTGAAAACTGCAATGTAATAAGCAATTTCTAAAACGTTGCGTATTCAGAATCTACGTTTTGTTCCTTGATACCCAACATTTGGTTTACGGCAATACCTGTGACTGAACAACAACATCCCAAACTCTTAACAGGATTTTTCACAAAAGATCTGGCCGAGTTTGACACCCTGCGAATTAGAAATGGATATTTCGATTCTGAAAAGGTATTTTATATTTGAAGTCTCAATTTTAAATTTTTTCTGAGAAATGTCTTAATTTTTTCTCGCACAAAGCAAAGTACTCTTATAAAAGGTCCATGTCCAATTTTCATTGAACACACTGAATATTCGAAAACTGGAAAATATTAAATTTCTCGGCGTTTTTGTATAATATTGAAAACTGTTTTTTTCTTAATGAAACGAGTTCTTTCAATTGAGATCTTTAAATAGTCGTGTAATGTTTTTGAAAAAGTTATACTCACTGACCTTTATTTTTAAAGCGTCGGGAAGAATATTCGGCCTTAGGTATTTGGTATAGTGGAAATATACATAACTTGCTAAAGACGACGAATTCAAATCCCGAACTTGGCATAAATATTGCGGTTTGGAAACCATTTTGCAGGTTCAAGTAATATTATATTATTGCTTAACCGATACTAAAAATGCGAAAAAGTACGTGTTGTAGCACTACTAGTTAAAATAATTATTATTCACAGAACTTCTCTGAAGTCTATTAGTACTGCTTATATGGCAATCCGTGAATGGAGTATGATACTCGCGTTTCAACCGCCAGCGAAAACTTGCAGCACATGTTTGCACCTTTCCCCTACAGCACGTGGCACACACGTTTTCATCCGTTTTCATCTTAAATATAAAAGCCAGTAAATAAAACGTTTATCTCCAAACATATTCGAGATAAGTCAGTAACGAACCTCATGAACGGTACGTTATCAAGAAAGATGAATCCTATTTGCTTTAGTCAAGAAGTAACAAATTTTCCTATGAGCTCCTACATTAGCTCGAATAGACTGAAGAGTTATTTGTTTTTAACAATTACAGATCTGAAAAAAAAGATTAGATACGAAAAAAAGATGTGTGGTCAGGAACAAACAGAGAAAATGTTCAAAGGAAAAGGAAGCAGAAGGAGAAAGGTAAATGAGAATAGTTGAATACGTTTACGACGCCCATATTATTAGTCGTCCAGAAAATTCCAGAAATGCCCTTTCTCCGATTTTGGGTAAAACTATGCTACAAAATTATTTTTAAAAATAGGTACCAGCAACTTGGGCCTACAATACATTAAATTCTGTAGTTTTATTTTCTTACCGTCATCAAACACATTCCGTTTAAATTACACAAAGCAGCAACAGATTCAGAACTGAATGGAACAGAAACCACAGGGAAACGAGTTACAAACTGTGTTTGCTTCGCATAGCACCATCAATACATTCCTGAATAATCTCCACGCCAATTTCCTTTCTTGCCAGAAAAACTTTTCACACAAATAATCATCTTCATTAAGAAGCGTATTTGTTTAAGGATCATTTAAAATATGTTTTGTAAAAATTCTAAAGAGGTTGTGTCTAACTTTGGCTATTGAAATAGCACCCGGTTTAACTTTACCAGGGAGTGGGGGATTTAACAGTTGAATACCCAGTGTAGTGGCCACATCTCGAAAGCAGCTGGATCTGGTTGCAACACTAATATTTTCAAAATATGTGATACAATGATTAGAAACACACTGTGCTAAATACAAGTTGCAGTTTGTTTGATTCTTTACTCAACTGGAAGCAAAATGGAGTTCACAGACTAATTGCATACCAAGCTTATTAGAAATTGAAATATCAGGTGTAGTTTGTCATTACAGTTTAATATGGAACAAAGCTCTTTCCGTTGCATATATTGCGAGAAAGATGATGCAATAACATCAGAAATTTTGTAATTACATAGCTCAAAGAGAAGAAATTAATCGTACAATTTATAATTACAAAAGGGGTTATTTCATTGATATGAAGATGGCGACTATGCTAATGACAAAGCTTTAGGCGAAATTAACCAATTATGATGAGTTTATGCCTGATATTTAATTTTATAAAGCCAAGACTATCATAAACCCCATCACTAATTCCCACTACTAAACTTATTCACCATCTTCACAAAATATCCTATTAATGTAATTATTTTCGACATATTAGATTCATGTAAAATGGCGTGCAGATAATAAAAGTAGAGACATCAATTGCAGTCCTCCAAGCAAAAATTATCATGGTTTATGTGGAAAATTCCTTCCACATATTTTTCTAATCTTTGTAAAGTATGACTTCAGACCAGTTCACTAATTACCACCATAAATAGATATAATTTCTTAAAAGAATTGTTGTTAAGAGTGGTGGGTTGTACAAGACTGTTAATGATCTTTTGAAGTACAGTGTAATCCATCTAAATTCAAAGTGCAAGAAGACAATGAAATATGTATAAAATAGGGAAAATATGAGCACCATTGGATATTAAAGGAATGTCATGCAAAATAAAAGTAGATTTTACTTAGAACAATGGCATTCAAGGAAATTACACTAGTTTAATCCCTTTTATTCAATTTTTGTGACGTTAATATGACTTAATCCTATGTATCAAAATTAAGTTAATGTCATTACCATCATTCAGGAATAATCCATATCTTAACACAACTTTTGGCTAGTTAATACATAAAGCTACACAATTCATATGTAAATTTAAAATTATTAAACTTTAGATACAAAATGTAACTAATTACAAGAATTTTACTTCATAGTTTTCTTACCAATAATGAGAATTGGAGGAAGAAAACAACTGACTGGTGTTGTAATGGCGACAACTGCCTCCTTCTGCTTCAAATTTAATCTGGGATCTAAAATTTCACTCCATTGCCTATAATAAGACCTTAAATAAATCATTATGCAAAAAAGAAACTACATTCCCTGCAAACATAAATATCCACAAAAAGTTTTCTCCTTTATCACTACTTTTACACATTTATTATCTAACTGATTTATGCATTAAATGTTTTTATGCACACTATTTTTCATCCTGGATAATAAAAGTGAAGACATTTTTTGAAATATATCATTTATATTCCATCAAAATAATCAGATTCCATGGATTTTGGAAAGAAAAACTATTTTTTCCATTCAAATCAACAGAAAAAAATCAAATAGAATATATCTTGTAGTCTGAAGTTCAAAATTAATGATAAAATGAACTCTTCAAATATGTTTCATACATGAAATTCATTAACAAACACTTTATCTCTCACATAACGGGAAAAGATTTCGTTTAAGACAATATGATGGTACATTTAAACCTAGAACCTATGGTGTCTTTGCGGGCAACACGCCAGTGCCCACATGCGCGCCCACGCGCAATCTCTTGAGAAGTAAACTATATTCTAACACAGGTACAACCAAGTTGTGAATTCATGTGTACGATGCGCATCCATATAGTAAGTTTCCCTAACTTTCTGCGTTGAAAAGTACACGCATTTAGGCGGGGTATTTGCGCATGCGTAACAGATCTTTGAGATATCAATCTTGTACCGGCCGGTCAGGTCCTGCCGAGTGAAAGTAGTGCGTCAGCAGTGGCCCGAAATGACGGCGCCTATTGGTTCTGCTTTGCTCTGCCAAGTCTACGGACCGAACATCATGAGCAATCAGATAGTGCGTCGCTGGTGTCAGCAATTTGAAGGTCGTCAAGTGGCAATCTGAAGGTCGTCAAGTGGCCATGATGAAGCACGCAGTGGGCGAGATCCCTCACCACTGATTACCTCGTGGAGGACCTTCGCTCCATGATTACGGAGCTCAGAAGGCATTTTCTGCAGATATCGCAATCCTTGACGGCGATGCAACGTGGATTTCGCACATTACCCCGGAAACGAAGCAGCAGTCATTGCACTAGCGCTACGGCGGATCTCCAGTCAAGACGAAATTCAGACTGTGTCGATGCAGAAGGTGGTGATGTGCACTGTGTTCTGGGACAGGAAGGGCATTCTGCTCATTGACGTCCTGCCCAGAGGTGGAACAATTAACACTGCCCGTTAGTATGGAACTCTGCGGAAATTGGGATGTGCCATTTAATCTTTTGGGCCATTTGTGCCAATACAAGAGGCCCGTCATGCTTACTGCATATGTGGTAATGTATGATAATACTCTTCCACATATAGCTCCCAATCAAGGAGTTCGGTTGGAAACTGGTCATCCCCCATAGTCCTGATCTCGCACCCAGCGATTTTCATCTTTTCCTGCACCTGAAGGTGTTCCTGTCCTCCGGTCAGAGTTTCACAACGACGAAGAATGAAGGGGACTGTGTCACCCTGGTTGCAGGCGCAGGCGGCATTCTTCTACAAGACAGGTATATGTAAGTTGATACCAGGATATGACAAGTGCCTATTTTTTTGGTGAATATGTCGAAAAATAGTTAAACATTGCAATACCTATTGCCAAAAAAGTTTTGCAAGTAACTATGTTGTCTTTTATTTCACAAATAAGAAAACTTACTTTCTGGATGCGCTACGTAGTCAATCTATCGTAACTGACTCACATAGAAAATACATTCCCTGTTTTGCCGTGTATTGGAATGTTTTTTTTTGTATTAATTTAACGATTGGCTCAAGGTCTTTCTATAAAGAGATCCAAAGAACTTCTACAAAATTTTGAGGAAATTTGAGTGCCTAATTGCAGATGTTTTAGGTAAAACCACTGGATTAATCGGAAAAAGATGACATCACATCGATTAGAATCATCTACCATTCTTGCATTATTACAAACACCCTGTCGTAACACCATTTTTTCATCCTTTCTCGAACATAAATAGTTCACAAAAATATAATGGCCATTTTTTATTTTAAATTAAAAAATGTTGGAAGTCAGTTATGACCATTTCATAGACAATTTAACTGTACGGTTTAAGAGGAGATTACAACAATAATGATATAGATATCAAATAACAACTTTCATGATATAACCCAGTGATGATAAATAATGATAAATAATTTCAAATAACACGAGGCATTATTTATTTACTGCTACTTCCATTGCACACTATTTCTCACTGAATACTGCTATAAACAGCTTAAACAATTTGAAAAAAGTACTTAAAATACTGAAAAGGAATTATGTTTAAAAATTGATTTGGTTGTGCTGAATGGAAACCTGTTATGTTTCTTACACGATCAACTTAAAATTTTGGAAAAAAAAACCAACTATTTTTAACTAAAATTTATTTGTGAACCATATCTAAGCATCTTTCGCCCTCATTAAGTCCTGCAAATTGCTAGAAAATGTTCTTGTTTTTTTGGTGTGTGATAGACAAACTAATAATGCAATCTTTTCATGACTTATCATTACAAGATTTCTACAAGGAATTCACTTTTCTTGTCCCAGCTCCTCAACTACACACCCTAGATCATTTAACATTTGTGCATCTACATTGCGTACGCATTAATACACGAATGATACAGGGGAAACTTAAATACAGAACAAGACACCTTTACACTGGAACAAATTACATACATTTTTAAAAGAATTCTATACATAACAAAAAGGAAGTTTTGTAGCGTGGTGGGGAAAATATAGTAGTAATAATAATAATAATAATAATAATAATAACCAACCTGAGAGGAGTCCATGGAATACTTGGCTCCAAAAAGGTATCAGGAAATATTATTTTATAATCGGCTATTTTATCAACAGCATAATGCCATTCACAATATGGGATTCTGTTCAACTGAAACTGAACTTCAGCCACCAGTTCTGTATCAGGTTTCAGCATCAGTGATTCAACACAAGTGGCCGAAAGTTTCAAATATACTGTATTTTTTCCTTTGTCTTCAATTAATGCTTCATATGCTATCGGAACATCATTTCTTTCACCTAAAAATAAAATGGGAGAGTTTATTCATGACAATCTGATATTACTATATTACCATAATATACAGACAATCGACAATTATTAATAAAGGACATACTTAACATTAAATACTTTACAGCAGAATTATGAATGTAAGTATGTGTGTGAGTATGTGTGTGAGTATGTGTGTGAGTATGTGTGTGAGTA